CGCGATTCGGAAAATCGAGGTGGATCGGGCTATGAGAACAAAGGAGGGTCAGGCAGTGTAACGATCAGGCCTACCATAGCGTGTAGGAGTAATCGTGTCTTTATTGTCAGAAGGGATGGGAGTTGGCTGCGTCTCGGGTTTGATGCTTGGCTGCATCTCCGCGTCAAGGAATGCTGGTTTGATGCGGTCAATCGACACGACGTCTTCTTTTCCATTTCGTTCGACGATAAAAACCTTTTCTTCTCATATGAGTATTCTATAAGGTGGTGTGCAGCGGACGATGAATGGCATCGTGCCTGATGAAAACATGAGTGCAAGAGGACAGTGTTCTTAGGATGTAGCATGAAGTGGCGAATGAGCGAGGTTGAGTTGGTATCAGTTTGCCCATTGCTTGTGTCCGGCCCTAACGGCAGGGACGTTGCCGTGCAAATCTGTCCAGAGATTCTCAATGCTGCTCCGAAAACCATTTCTGCAGAGGAACAACCCAAGTCTTCCTTTACGGATGGTCGAAGCCCAAGATGCACGAGAGGTAACGCGTCCGACCAACGAGGTGGGTCACTTTGAGCTGTTAAAGCAGCTTTTAGTTGTCGGTGAAAACGTTCTGCCATTTCATTTGACTGAGGGTGGTAGGCGATCATTCGAATGCAATTCGTCCCCAGAAGTCGTGTGAGGTTTTGGAACAAGTTTTATTCAAACTTGTTCCTTGATCGGTGATGATCGTGGAGGGGACTCCAAATAAGGCAGCCCATCTGTCCACGAATGTTCTAGCTACTGTTTTGGCGGAGATGTATTGAAAAAGCGTCTGGCTATCGGGTAAAATAGTCAACGCATGACGAAAGGTAACGTAAATCTTTCGAGTGCGGTAAGGGTCCAACAACGTCAACATGTACATGATCAAACCTAAAGTATCCAAGAAGGGTCTTGCTGCGTTTGCCTGCTTTGGATTTTGACAGCTTACACAATTTCTCGTCAACTTTGTAAGATCACGATTTGTAGCAGGCCATGTATAACAACTTGAGATCAGCTTCCATGTTGCACACTGAGCGGGATTAGAAAGACCGTGAGTGGCTTGGAACGCGTGGCATCGCATTGGCTTAGGTTCGAAAAGACATTGCCTACCCGTTAAAATGTCACAGACTGTTGTACATGTGAATGAAGGTAGAAAGGCTTCGGCCAGCTTTAAGGCTGCATTTTGTCTCTGGAACTGTTATAATTCTTCATCAGATTGCTGAGCAATCGTCATATCCTCGATATCTACATGTGTACCTGTATTTACAGCGTCGATGTGCGAATGAGAGAGTGCATCGGCTACGGTATTGTCCTTGCCCTGGTGTGACGAATGTTGGTTGAAAAATGCAAAATATAATCCAAGTGTCTTGATTCTATTGGTGGAAATCGATCCAAGTTCTAACGGTTTGCAAAGGTCAGCGATTTGTGGTGGGTGTAGATCGTGAATTGCCGAACTTACAGGAGATACTTGAAGTGTTTGACCGCCAGGTAAATAGCCAGAAGCTCACGATCGAAGGTGCTGTAACGCTCTTAAGCTTCATTGAACTTGACTGAAAAATAAGCTAGCGGCTGATGGTTTACTGTAAGACTGCTCCAGCTACCAAAAAGGACGCATCAGCCAGTAGAGATAGAGAAGCATCTAATCGTTGATATACAATTGTGGTTGTCATCGTCAAGGCCTTCTTTGCGGCTGTAAAAGCTTCACGTGCTTCGTCAGTCATGGTTAGATTTTCAGAGGTAGAAGGGTTTGAGCTGCTTTGGGTAGGAATTGGCGGAAGAAATTGGCAATATCGAAGAAGCGTTGGTTCCTGGTATTGTCAGATTTCTTTTACCTCCATATCGGTGGGCCTTAAACCTGCAGCGGAGAAAGTGTGTCCTAGGAATTCAAATTCTGGGACTCCGAAAACGAACTTTGACGGATTACAATTCAAACCATATTCCTTAAAGCGTCGAAAGGATGTCCGTGTATTTCAGATGCTCCTTTTGATCTGCACTAGCAACCAGAACATCGTCGATATACGAAAAGACAAACATTTCAGCGTTTCATTCACTAAGTATTACCTGGTCTAGATTTTGCGCTGCATTTCGTAAGCCGAAAGGCGTTCGCACGAACTCAAACAAACCGAATGGCGTAGCAACAGCCGTCTTATGAATATCAGATGGTTCGACAGGGATCTGATAATAGGCTTACACCAAATATAACCTGGAAGAAACTATTTTCGGTGTAGATTCGACGAAACATCATACAGATTTGGTATTGGGTAGCGATCAGGGACTGTTATTGAGTTTAAGGCACGATAATCACCGCATGGTCGCCATTCACCCACGGCTTTCTTGAGAACCATGTGCAACGCAGATGACTGGTCACTGTCCTAAACTGGTCGTTGCTCCTAAAATGAGGCCTGCGGTATCCGCCAACTGTTTTAGTGTTGACGATTCAACCATGGGGACAAGAATGGGTTGGATATTGCATGGAAGTCTTTTGAGAAAAAATCCTTTCCGAAATGTTCCTTGCAAAGGTTCGTCCATGGAGATTTGACGCAACTTCCTCAGGATCTGGGTATGATTCAAGTCTCTCTAGTCATCGCGGGATAAAAGTTAATTAATGCGTTTTGATGTGGTCAGATGCGTACATTTCAGAATTGCTGCCTTCAGCTGGTCGTAAGGAAAGTCGTTGGCCATTTCTCTTCTCAAAGTAGAGACCAGGTGAGAGTATTTCGCATGTTGGCTGACAATGTTAGCTCCAATTTGTTGAGACATGATATAGCGAGAAATACGACTGAAATAACGAAGGAGCAGCCGCTAATCAAGTCGTGGAAAAAGGTGTTTTTGTACAAGAAAACAAGCCCATTTATATAGCTCCGCTAAGCATCGATCTATGAACGAGCACAGTTACGTGAAGTACATTCACGTAAATCGATTGAATTGTGTTCGCTCACGCCTGCAACCTGCGTTTGCTCACGATCGCTAACAGTGCTCGCTTGCTGCTTGCCACACAATTAAGTCAGTTAAATATAGAGGAATAGCACTGATTTCTAAAAACTACGCTGAGATCAAAAGAAAATTAGAGAAAAGTATACCTGTTGTTTACACCAATAAAGCAAAATACGCGGTATGTCAACGTGAGAAAAAAGATGACGGTATTTCAAGTGGTTAATTTTGTCTAGGGAAAAATATGTTGTACGAATTTTTGATGCCAAACCAATCGTCAAGTTCGCCAAAATTAGTGATTTCATTTTTGGTCCTTGTACATTTCCTGTTTTCCATTTCAACTTTGAAAGAATTACGAACCATAACTAAAACCTGTTAGCCTTGCAACCGCGCGAGCAGGAAATGTCTAAGTTACTTCATACTGCTTTTCATACATATCAAAAGTGCCTTTCAGCAATAGCTATAACTTCATGTAGTTACAGTAATAATCGCAAAGTTAAAGGTATGTAAAAATTGGTTTTATGAATTTTAAATAATTTTCCATTATAACGTGGCAGGCAGAATAAAGCGGACGGTGGATTGTTAGTTTGAAAGTAAATAAATGAGTCATGTGAAAGTCTTGGTCTGTAGCGTTTCGGCAAGGGGCAAAATAACTAAAAGTGAAAGTAAAAGATGCCATTTTAGAGTATTCCGGTGCAATATACCATTGCAGTCGAATATCATTTTTAACCACAGTCATGAATGTATCATGTTGTAAGATTTGCAGTATCATGAAAACCCCTCAGAACTAGCAGCATCAGTTTTTTCACGACCCGGTTTGCTTTGTGCTACACTTTAGGCATGAGAGTTTGCGATTGCTGTCATTGTAAGAAATCCATCTTTCATCACTATTGATAATTTAGCTAATGATGATGTTAGATTGGTGGCTAGACGTAAATGTCGTTCAGTTCCTGCGAAACGGATAGTTATTTTACGTGACCTAAATTATCACGTGTGATACAAACAAAACCCTCTTGTATAGTCGATAGATCTTACTCCATTTGTTCTGACTTAACCATCGTCAACTGCAGCTCCGTATTTCACGTGAGTAATTACACAAAAGTAAGAACTGAAAACGAATCTTATCGCGAATCGCTCCTGAAAGTTGCATTTAACAAACTTCAATGCTAAAAATGTGAGCTTATTTGCAAAGTTCCCTTAAAACAGGCCATGCAGGGACAGCGCCCGGGTTAAGAAGCAATCAGTTCACTCGTGCAACTTAAACCCACAGCAGAACAGGAATTTTTTCAGCAGTCATTAATTTTGAACAAAAGAGCATCAAAACATGACAGACAAAAGAAAACGAACATCTTGATTCGCACTTTAATGTAAACAACAGAGTCTAGTAAGAGGACATGAAATATGCGACAATAAAGCTATTTACTCTCAATGTTTTTCTATTCCAGAGTGTCTGTGGAAGTGAATAGCGTGTTTTAACGAAGATAAAAGTTCGCTGAGTTGCAACACATAGGTTTTCCCGTGTGGAGGCCAAATTAGGTGAATGCTAACGCCTCTAGAAACGAGTATTTTGCCGTATGGAAAACACAGATCGTCTATGAGAGGAATTTGGAGTGCGGAAGTAATTGTGAACGTTGAACACACAAAGGTTGTGCATGATATGCCGTTGGTTCTGTCAGCCGCTCAAGTCTAGCATGATTTGCAAGCGTTGATAGACTGATAGCGAGAACGAATTCGTAAAACTGAATATTTTAAGCTGGTAGGAAGCATATCAACCTACACACGATTCTGACCTATCTAGAACTTTGATTGTTCAAACTATTCTATTCTGGATCTGAAGGCGGAGGCATTTGTAAACTGACTAACAAAGGAACTTTGTTTATTTGATTTACGAGGTGTCGAAATGAGGTCAGACTGTCACAAGCAATGTTTGAAGCTGTGTAATTGGCCCACTATTTGTGCCAAAGTCATTAATTAAAAACACTGAAGCCCGTATTAAGAGTAGAGGGAACCGGAATAAAGTGGATGTACTTCATCGCCGTGCCCTCTAGTAGATTAAAAACATGCGCGAATCAGTGATTCCAAGTAGGAATTTCGAATTTGAGCCATGGTGTACATTAGTAACATGGCAACCAGTAAAACAGCACATTTGAAGGCAATTAGAGCCAATGGGAGATTGTTTTGTTCATGTAGCAAGCCTCTTAGCTTGCTTGGTTGTACTCGACTTGTGTATCTTAACATCTGGGAGTAGAGACATGTGATACTTCGATTTTAAAAGGGAACGAATAGAGCAATATCATAAGTGCCTATGGTCTGTCGACACGCATTTCACACAAACGTGGAGACTGCAAAAATGGATTATAATATCCAAATAAACTGCGTATAATCTCTGCTAACGGAATGAGCAAATGTGTTGAGATTTCACTTTAAGTGAAAGGAATTTTAAATTACTCGCAGAATAAAATAGCTTCTCTTTGGATTGCACATTCTAAGTTCTCGCGTCCAACTTAAGTACCAGAAAATACGCGGCTGATGTAGTGAATTGTAAATGCACATGATGAGACAACCTAAGACCTGGTTCAACAAGCTGCTGCCACCTGTCAGGTGACAAGCTTAGACTGTGGCATCAATTCAGTAATGAACCACATTACAAGAGAACACTTTCTTTTATTAAGCATTCGTGTGGAGACGGATGACGCAAGTTGTGTGACAGGAAATGTCAAACATGAGTAGGAGGTGCACTTTAAGAATAGCTGAGATTAGCTGGCGGCCAGCCGAAGGGAAAGGCGAACTGTCACAAAAGTTATGTAAATATTTTAGCGATCCAAAACTGGGTTAGAGATCATGGCATTGAGGAGTCTTGTGAACACCTATGAGTCTGCAGTTTTATATGAACTTGTGTACTCCAGCAGCTTCAAACAACGAAAATATAACCAAAACGTCCTTTCTATAAAAGGGAAAAACCACTTAAAAGTCAAGTGCTCTCTTGAAGATTTTGATTAGCGAAGCTCACCGATTACCGATCTTTTTGTCTATAGCTGAGCGAGTGTGTTGGGTTCGCATTTTTGTATGGACAAACCATCCTTCAGTCCAAAGTGTGCCAGCGTAGACAATTAGTGTCATTTACAAACTGTCAGAATTTGATACAGCGCAAACGGAATGACCGTGTAGTCGTAATACGGCTTGGTTAAGTAACAGAGCCAGAAATTTATGCCAATGTTGTTTAATTCCTTCTTGAAGTCGTGAAGAGCCAGATCTCGGGAGTGGCTGCATTCGGAAACACATCGAGTCTGCTGGTCACTTTCGACAAGGTGTCGGAGCGACTTCTCCCCCAACCGCCTCTTCCTTCCACCGGCAACACGAAGCCGCGTCGGTTCTTCGCTCAGGGTGCCCTCTCGCACGGCTTCATGGACACCAACGACGAGCGACTACAGTTGCTTCATCAGGCGCGTCGGGTGAAACCCAAAAGCAAACCTCGACCACAGGCGACCGTAGAGGAGAAGAAAGCTGTCGCGACAGTCGGAGAACAGGCTGATCAACCTAACGTTTTTCCGAAAGCCCAAACTACCATTTCACCGAAGCTGGAAACCACCGATCCGACGAAATCAGCGATTGATCCAGAGGCACAAAAGGCTGAACGCAGGTAGCAAACTCGGACGTACAGCAGTTTTACTAATATCGCGAGCATCACTGCCCTTTTGGAGTTTAGTTAGCTCAATACAGCATTTACAGGAATTTTATTGGATGCACTACTTTGTATTTTATGCTTATCGCGCAGGATATAGTTTAAAAATCAGCAGTATCATTCAACACAATTTGTGCAAGACAAACCTTTACCTTTGCAGATGCAGATTTTAACGAATTGCTAAAGTATGCTGATAACTATAGACTGGTGATTCAAAGGCAAACCATGCTGGGTTATCAGGTGCGACTTTGAGGGACTTTTACAAATTTCGAACACTTGTTTTTGTGAAACAATGATTGCTTATCTTTAAATTAAATTACCCGTGGTTAAGTAAAAACGATTCCTTTAACTATTGCCTGTCATAGACCACCAGCAACCAATGCCGGTGGAAATCAATTCACTTAATATTTAGATTCCAACAAGGCAAAATACACAGTTCTTTCTACTAATATGATTTCAGTAGACTTAATATTATATTTTAGGAAACGACGACGGGAAGAGAGGAATCGGGGAAAACCGGGTCGAAGGCGACGAGACAAGCGCTCCTCTTTCTTCTACTATCCGATTTCAAAAGACCCTATCCCGGGTCAGAACATGCTGCTCGAATGTGCAGGGTGTTCACTCCAGTTGCCCACCTCGCCGATGGCCCCAAATTCCGCCACGCGTTGGCTCGTGATGGCAAAGTCTTTGGAGAAGTCGAGGATAAACGGCACTGTCGGTGCGCCGAATTTGCAGGCAAGAGAAATGAATAATTGCGATAAAAGTAACATTCAATCCAAAGGAACCTTGTAAATGCTTAAATTGACAATTAATTAAGGAGTGCATTACTCATTACGCTGGTATTAAAATGAAGATTTGAACCACAAAATTCTAGTTTGTATTGAGCCTAATTTTCTAAACTAATCAGTAAAAGACAAATGGACGTGGTGTCATTTTAAGTAGACTGGTGGGATCCTTTGATGTGAAAATGAAAGTAGGCATTTCTTTAAATCTGGCATCGTATTTATGTTGAGTAAATATATTTCTGAGGTATGTGTAGACAAGGTCATAGCTTAGCCTAGCCATGTGCGTTCACAAATGAAACCTTTTGAGAATGGCCTTGAAACCTTGCTATGGTTAATATTTAGGCGGCGGTATATCAAGATTAAACGCCCTTAGGCACCCACTTACGATTGGCTCACACTAGTTCCTAGGACAAATCACGTTGCATTCATTTGTAGTTGATGGATCTTGGTAAGCATAAGTTAGTAAGTTCTTATGACGTTGGTAGAGCGAAAAAATGATCTGTGGACAGCTAAAGGTAAAATTCGCATTTCAAACTGTGTTCCTTCACTTATTTCACGATGCACTGGTCATTCCGTTAAACTTCGTTGTTCTTAAGACCTGCTTGTACTCCTGGTGCTGATAAACGAGGATACAACCAATTATTGCAAATCATTAGTCCATATTCTCCACATTACCTTTGCCATGTAATATTGTATTATCATAGAATAATTGAGTATCGGCTTAGCAATCAGTGTACGTGAAGCAGTCTCCTTGCGGGTAAACAGATTCTACTTTGGCTAATCTAACGTTAAGCAGTCTGAGGGTACTGGCTATTTCGCAGTACCCTTCTACAATAAATGTACGCGTTGTTCTGCATTCGGAAAGTTTTGCAAACTTGGTTCTTAAAAATGACGGTTAGGTGCAGTAATTTTGTTTAGTCCGGTCCTGCGCCACACTGGGAACAGTGAGTATCCTTGTATTTTAGTCACTCGTAGAAGACCAAATATTGAAACTGAGACCATTATGATCTCATGTAGAAAGTTTAGGCATTTAGTGAAATTAAGAAGGACAGACATTCCTATCTGACTATTGAATGGTAGTGCGGAACTGGGTTTTCCTTTACCTGATTTACCACAGACCAAATGAGTTCTGCTATCATCAGCTTACATAGGCCAGCATTTGTTTTATTTTTGGCGTTTAGATAACATCTCTGATGCCGTGGCAGAAGGATACTCCGGGGTTTCGTGATGCCCTACGCGACATTCGCAACATCCCAAGGGCAATACTCTGCAACCCCAATACCAAGGTTGAATTGAACTTTGATGGCTTTCAGCGTAGCGAGCAGACGACACCACCACCATTCCCTCAGCGCTATCCCATTCGAACTAGCTGGAGCCGACAGGGGTGGGCGCCATGGCAAAGAACCCCCAACCCCACATGGAACCTGCCCTCTCCCTTTGAAGGCCTCTTTCAGAATGACGCCGGAAGCGCGGCCGCCTCAGCTGGAAACCGCGAAAAAAAGAAGCGCCGAAGACAGATGCAGAGGCGGCGGAAGAACCAAACGAAGAATACTAACCAACGAACCGGTGATGCAAAGAAGTTGAGGGAGGAAGAACGACGTCTACGTAGGAAGGCCAGAAAAGAGCGGCTGGCAAGAATGACGCCTGCACAGAGAATGGCGTGGACTGCGCGGAGACGCGCTCGACGAGCGCGACGGAAGGAATTGGAGTCCCGGAGAAGGCTTCAACAGCGGCCACACAATCTGACAAACGGCACCAATAGTTCGCTGCTGTGACTCACCCACCTCCTCATTGCACCCCCGAACTCCTAATTGCTTGACGTTTGACCTGTTCAACCAACCGGTCTCCCAACAGATGTTTCCACACACTCACACATTGCGTACACACAGACCTCCCCAGGCTAAGCATCTTTCGAGTCTATTTTATCCATGCAGACCAAGAAGAAATCTTTTTTTGTCATTTTAATGTATCTTAACAGGAGAGTGTAAATTCACCTTTTTCGAGTTTGACAAAGTTGTGATGGTTTTAATCTCTGTCTCTGACTAAACGTGATCGTAGAGAAGAATGGCTTCTAATTTTTAATTAATGCACAAGTATTTGTTGAAGACCTTTTACCGCGAGACTAACCCGGAAAGACAATAAGTCCAGAGATGGTAGGCACGACCGTTTACTAGACCGCTCAACAAAGTTGTCGTTTTAAAGTTGAGTGGACATGTAAATATGAAAACAGGCGTTTGTGAGGTCACATGACCAATGCGGGAAGTGGTGGTGGTGATGGTACATTCAGCGGGGTGATGAACCAGCGGTCTCACGTGACAGGGGGGGAGGTGTGCTGAAAGCTGCGAGGCCAGGGTTATTGGACGTGAATCAACACGATTCACTACATATTTCTTTCGTTTACATGTTCTGAAGGGCTGCTGGCGGCTTTATGCTTCATTCGTTTTGATATTTCATGGACGTATGTTGATTTAAACCCAAAACAAATACAGCCGAATTTTCCTTAGGGCTGTTACCCTAGGGTCAATTTTGACCTCGAACACAAAACTGAATATTTCAACATATTACTCATTGTCATTTTCGTAAAAAAATGAGGCTAAGGATTTAGAAGGAAATATTGAGGTGCGCGGTGCTAATTCCTAAGCACAATACCCGTTTTGGAATCAGTTCAGCGAATTCCGTTTAGGAGATCTCGCACAGCGCTTGCCTAAATTGTATTCGATCTGGTGAATATGGTCATACCCAAATGCAAGACATAATCCACTAAAACCGTTTTACTAATAGGGATGGAAAATAAATTAAAATGATTGATTTACTTTACGGAGCTTGATATTTGGCCTCCGCACTGACTGACAAAATTCCACCCTACACGACCGATCAGGATTTGCAATTTTTGTTTCAAAAGCATTTACATCATTCCTTTATTAAAAAAGCCACGCTTTTGATGAAACGTTGGTCGTTTAACAGAAAAAGTAAACCGAGTGTGAACATGGATAAATTGTAATAAATCGTCGCAGATCCATAGATAGTGATTACGTGATGACAATGGAGTTTTATATTTTGAGCGATTCAACAACTGATGAAAACCGAAGATGCAATAAGAGTGCAACCGCTAAAAGTGGTAACTCACTTGGGATTTGTGTTTAGGTGGCGAATTGGTTGAGTTGGCTGTAAGCCATGACTTTGCACCACCAAGTAATCACATAATTTGAATCCTGCGGACTGCTTAAATAATAAAAGCACACTTAACGACGGCGATCTTAATTCGTACTTAGTTCGCTTTGTTTCTGATGCGGACCGGAAGTTGTACGGGCGTGGAACCAAAAAGTTAGCAATTTTTACCTAACGAATTAAAAAAAGCTTTAACTATCGACATTTTATTTATAAGTTAACACGCCTGATTCCTTTAGGCTCCGGAAATAAGTAACGAAATTGCCATGAATGCGGAATATAAATGTCTCCATTTAAATGAAAGCAAAATCATGTTTGTCTTATGGACGTGACACCCGATAGACTCGTTTTCTTACAAGATCAGAGCCAGCTGATTGCCAGTTTTGAAGTCAGGCTCATATATCGGCCTGAACGCTACGGCAGACAACATAACGGGAAATTGGAATATTTACATGCACACATTTTTTACAGTTTTTTTGCAATTTAGTAATTGAGTCAAATTGCAACCAGGGAAAGCACTGGTTTTCACTAAACCAAAAGCCCAAAATCACATTACTACGTATTACTGGTTGTGGACGTTGTGACGCGGCATGCTATAATTAGCGCAATGCAGCCGCTCATTAAAGCACAAATGAGGCACGTCTTTAAATCTCGCCGGACGCTGCTTTTTTCTCGGGCAGTTCCAACCAACACAAAGCCATCGCCGAAACTGGCTGGAAACGCCACAAGCCACGAAAAATTGGGTGTGTAGGGGTGAAGGCATGGGAAAATTCCGCAAGTTGACAGGTCAGGCAAGTTTAAAATAAAGAAGGGACTGAAAACTCGAATTAATCGTGAGGCTAAGATATCTTAATCGTTAAACTTGGTTGATTGCCGAGGAGCAAAGCAGAAATTAAATCACGTATTAATTAGGATCTCGTAAAATAGACCGATGGTTAACTCTTGCAAGAAGTGTGTCGAAAGTCTGCGATTCGGGAGAAACCGGTTTAGCATGGTCTCGCCCCTGGTGAAATCTCAAATTACTCATGGAATGAAGTATTTCTGATTTCTAAATTACGTGTTTGTTTCAGAAACTTCTCAAAAAATAAACCTGAACAGAATATTTCAACGAAATAATTCATTTTTAAGAAAAAAAATTTGCTCCGTATTTATTGCCACGTTTTGACTGGTTTCTACAAAAAAGTCTACAATTCACTTACCGAGCAATTTCAACTGGCGAGGAAGGTGTGACCTTGTTACTACCAGTTACAAAAGCAACGGGCTTATAAATCCTTCGAGGCAAATGCGTTTGTGAGGAAGGCTCAAATTCAATTATTTCAATACGTCCCCTGCCGTACACAAAACATAAAATGAACAGTCGTCCATTGACGGGATTCCTTCGATAATGCGTCGCATCGAAGACGCATGTAACGAACAATCTTCAACTGCTTAAATATCTAATACTTAATTTCTAAACAAGGAGATTATTTGGATTGTATACTGGTATATTTTTGGTAGGAAGGAAATCACTATTATTTCGCATTCATTCTAATAAAACTTCTTACCCTTTTACAAACTAATACAGCATTAAATTTAACGTTGAATACATTTTCAGTTGGTCGATACGACGCACTCGATTTTGGGACAGTGTCAATTAGAAATTATTTTTGCATCCCTCTTTGGGAAAATTAAACCACTTTTAAGAAACATTAGCCCATTACAAGTAAAAGAAAACCAGAGGCACATTAGCACAAAATTCGAAAAAAACCAAATGCGTGGTAAATTCACCACAGATTTGTAAACGTCACCAAGATTTCCACTTCTACCATAAGACATATTTTAGGGTATATAATTAGAGTATGAATTTTTAAAAATGTTCATTAACTAAGGCATTAGGGAGACCACAGCCTTAGCAAATGGACCGTTGTTAATAATTTATTTGTGCATTTATTACTCTGTCACTTGATGACGTTTTCATATTATTTAAGTTAGTTTACACAACTGTGTTTAGGCAATGAATAAATTAACATCCAGTCTTCATATCTGGACGTCCTTTTATACTTTGAGAATTGTGATGTCTAGGGTCCCACCAGTTTTAGTCAAATACTAACAAGATCACATTTCCTAAGCCTTCGAATCACTGAATTTCCTATGGAGGAACTCTTACATCACTGAAACAAACATTATGGGTAATACCAATTGGTTTGCCCTTCCTCATTCTACCCTTGCTGGTAAATAAATCACACAGCACTTCTGCATTAAATTACATTTAAGTGGTTAAACTCAAAGGCAAGTCTGGTCGATTCTCATTTGCGAACTGGATAACAAATTCGCTTCTACTGTGATCAGCTATGAAGGCAAAAACTGATTCTGCGCAAACTTTCCTTTGAGGCTGTCACTAGAACTAAAATTGCTTTATTATCTTGCTTGGCTGCGGGTACGGGGTTCAAAAGGCAAACAAAATGAAAGTGTTTTACCTGAAAACGCGCAATAAATTGTGGTGATTCTTGCAGATTAACATCGAATTTGTCCCATAAAATCAGCATAGAGTCCTTGTCGTAAGTTTTTTTGCCAAGTTGGATCGAAATTAAGAGGAAACGTTTACAAGGCACGCTGATATATCCATTCAGCGACTGTATTTATTGCATTTTGTCACGTCACACATCCCAACTGCCCCGATTCGGGCTCGGACATGCCACTTTGATCAGACCAATCTGCGCCGAATCAGACGTCTGCTTGGCTCCACGATATGGAGACCTGCTCAGCTAACAGAATTTCGTCATAAGTCTTTATTGATCAAAATAACAATGCTGGCATCCATTAGACCTTATCTAGCGTTTTTAGGAATTCCTCAAGTGCGGTGCTTCCCTTTAAAGCTCCAGGGACTTGGCATAATCGCATTCCTTGGTCTGGCGACTGTCAAAGCGGTTTTCTGTTATACATAAAAGGCAACTAATCAAGTTAATGGATAAAAGACGGTGATACTTTTGAAGCCATCGGATTTAAATAATTCTTAAAACGCATCTGACGACGCTTTTTAAGCGTAAAATGGGACTAAATGATGGGAACAGATTCGGCAACGTGCAAAACAAAGTAGATTCAATTAGTTTTTCTTGCTAATTTTTTGGTCTCAGTTTATTTTATCAGATGGCAAATACGTCTCTTATTTTTAAGACTCCAAGGAATTTTTGACCAATTTGGAAAACAAAAATAAAGTCCTCCACATATTCAGTAGGGCAACTAAAGAAAGTTGAAGATTTATTAGAGAATTTTTTTATTATTATTTAAATTTATTTGTATGTCAACTTTTTCTTAATGTTTTCCAGTAAATAGCTTAGTCAGTATGATCGGGCAAAAGGTGGGTTTATAGGGGTCAAGGTTAAGGACTAAAATATTTCAGTTGTTCAGTTTATCTATGCATTTCATGAGGTCCCGAGTACTCGGTCAGGCAAATCCACCCAAATTGGTAATATTGGATTTCGTTTGGGCAAAAAGAAGTAATTAGTAAATTTTCTATGTGTCGTACACCAAATACAACTGTTACATGTAACTTACCTAACTGTCGAAAGGCGTTTGATAATGCTCCAATGCGAAATGGATGTTAACCACAGCTATCTGCCTGACCTGATCACTTTTTTTACTGTGATCAAATAAGACCATATCCGAGGATCCATTCATAAACTGCTTTTGGTTGCTTACAAAGCGTAATCACTAGTGGAAACATGAGCGGTTTTCCGCCGCATTTAACTTTCACGTTCGTGTGCTCTACCGCAGTTTTTTTTAGTTATGCGGGGTTTGTCTTAAATTATCGGAGATTGTTCGATTGCAGGCGCTTTCTTCTAAGCACTAGTTTAACTGCTTCATTTACTGCTGGCATTTAAAGGCTGCAAAATCAGGCCTTATAATATTGTAGGCATTTTCCAAATGCACTAATTACTCAACTCAAATCTTCCTGTTGCTGAATATTTTAAGGGAACGCAATTTATTATTGAAAAGATGGTATTAATCCAGTAGCATTCACGTAAAAAGTTGTGCGCTGCCTAATCTACCTGGGTACCAAGCCACAAAAACCGACAACGATGGCTATTATCTGGTTTTCGATGGGAATGTATCTTTGAAATCCTGACTGAAACGTTTGAGTTTTTCACAAGCACTTATGCTCATCCTTCCGTTATTTTTTGTCAAATTTACTTCTCAGCTTGGTCATTGACACTTTTTTACAGAATGGAGACTCAAGTAGGCAATCAACCGCCTAAGGTACAATTTACAGTTTGCGAATGGAAATTTATTGTACGAGCCAAGGTTTCTTTGACGCACTTTTTTAAATCGATGAGACTTAGCTTTCCACAAAATTTCAAATTTTAATCGATTATTAAGCGTTTGGGCGATGGGTCATCATCAAATATCCATATTTTCTGGCACAAGTTTGCATACACGAACTTGAATCTGCGTCACCGAAACCAATGCTTTATCTACTCATCCTCTACACGGTTGATAATGGAGTTTAATTTGACCTACTCCGTCTGGTCAACACATATAAGAATTCTGTACAGTCTGTTGTAAGCGTGCCAGCAGAGGGTAGGGGGAAGGCGAAAACTTGGTTTCAAGCTGAGTTCTCAATTGTTAAATTTTTCATAGATAAACAGAAAGCTCTCTGGTGTTTTCGGTCGTTATTTTCGCCCACTTATTATCAAAAAATCTTAAAAAACAGCTAATGTTTGTAGACAATGATATGATGATCAAGGCAAGTTAGCAAGCACTTTAGGAAGATGTTTTTTAGTGAGCTTTGAGGTAAAGCCGACTTAGTGGAGTTCTCAGTGATTTCTCTACCTGTTTTATTGGTGCAATCGTAAACGAGGAAGCCACACACATAATATTGCCACGTATTTATTTCTGAGGCAGTGAAATGCATCGCGTTATGTACAACACATTAGTAAGGTTATTGTTGGTAATGCTTTTTGGTTGCTGGTTTACTTGGAGTTCTTGACTCAGTGAAAAGATGATGAAGGCGTTCATCCTAAAAAATTATACAAAAAATTGCTTAATTGCAGATAGCTGGAACTAAATCCACCATTTTATCCAGGTAACGTTGTGTACTCAGGGTTAAAACATATTTCATGAACGCTTCCAATTTTTCCTCCAAATCAACGAAATGTTTATTTGGTTATTACGAAGTCTCCACAGAAGTTTGCGCTTAACTGACTTGCTGGAGCTAGTTTACGCTTCCTTCGACTCAACGACTTGATGGTCTGGGGTTAAACATCACAAGTCGTGTCCTAGGACTCCTGTTTTAACTTAATCTCGTTTGAACGCGAGCTGAGAGCTGTGAATCTACCTTTAGCAAAGTGTGCAGCAAACAAAGAAAGTCAGTGATTTCTTTGTCCGCCAGCCGCGACAACTTCCTTGTGGCCGAATTCAAAAATAATATCTGTGGGTGCAGATTAGGTTGATTGAGGGATTCAGTTGGTAGTTGGCTGCACTCTCAAAAATGCTAAATAATTTAAATAAACTCGACATGACAAAAGTCTAGCAGGTGGTAAATGGCGGCCACATCTAAAAAAAAACGTTTTCTTCAAAATCAATGAATGATTGGGCAGTGAAGAAGCATCGGAGACTGTCAAAGCGGGCGACGTTTGCGAAGGTGAATTTGGCTACGCAAGTTTAGTTACTTAAGATGATTTGATGTTGCAGGCATTTGTACAGAGTCAATAATCGTAATTTTAAGCTTATTCACACTACAAATACTACTTAAGATTTGTAAGTGTCGGGTAAAGACATTTTCTACCTAGTTTCGTGGGATCTACTCTAGTTTTTAATTTACTCCGGAACCTGATTATTTACTTAGATTAGCAGAACAAACTACGACAGGAAAGTTGACAGATTCGTGGAACCACCTAACTGCGTATTTTTCATTACCAAAACAAGCAAAAAAAGTAGAATTCTCAGGGTTACGTCGCTTTAGTTTAGACAGTAAACAGTGCAATACAAATACTTTAAATTGTTGAACTGACTTGTTGAAGAAAGAACTCAATTTCTCTAACTGCGGATTCAAGGTTTTCATTTGTGACGACCTTATCGAATACCTCCTCGTCCAGAGCTTCAAAAGACAAAAATTACTACTATTCCGCATGAATAGAATGATGCACTCTAATTATTAGCAACTTACCATATTGCATCTCGTGGTGGGCGATCGCCAGTCGTTGCAAAATATGTTCTTCTGATTCAACCGAATACGTACGAAGGCGTTTCTCCTTTAGGAGCAAAACGGTTAATAGGGCCAGGCGTGCGATGGAAATACACAGCACTGACAGTCTGTTCATTTTTTAATGATTCAGGTGTTCTATCTAACATGGTACTTCAATGGTCGCTTCAAGGCTTCGTGGACATTTAGACAACCCGAAAATTTGCCACCTTAGTGGCAATGTTGCTTGAGCTCTATCGAAACCGTAAATATAGCGCAGATCTGAGGCTACATTAGGGGGAATTTGTTTATTTCACTTATGTGACAGTTGTTACTTAGCACGTGGCAACTATCTGTCTTGCTACGAACATGTTTGCCTGAATGACATTGTTTTGTGGCAAGGCGTTTCGAATACTAAGCTACTTTCATTCAGCAGCTGCTTTTTCTATTCGCACTCTTTACGAGACTGTTTAGGTGCTACTAATTTTTCCTGACGTTATTGGCTGCAATTCACAGCACAAAAGAAAGAGAAATAATATTTAGGTTTGTAGGCACAGAACTAAACTCGAGCAAGTAATATTTACTCTAAAGTCCAGGTAAGAGACCCAAGATCGTTCATGAATTGAACTCAAACTCAGTGCCTCGATAGATGATGCAAATGAAAAAAAAGTTATTTACAAAGTCCTTTTATTGAACTCGCTTCCTATCACGTGAAAGCACTGCTTGAACAAAAATGACTGCTCTATAAAATAATTACTGATTATTATTTTTGATATAAATGACTTCCCGACAATCATGGAATATAACAACAAGCATTGTGTCTAATTTAAAATTTCTCGGATAACGTGGGTATGAAACATCGCAAAATCAAGATTCTTCAATTAGAAAATCAAAGAATATTGTAAAAACCCACCAGTATTGCGTAATTCCTAGGACGAATAAACACACAAATAGGGTTGATGCCAGTTTTTCTTATCTGCTCAACACCTTGCGTGTCCAACTCGAAAATGCAGACTTTCTCTTCTTGTATGACTTTTTCCATTTGTTCTTTACTAGGGGGAGGCAAAAATACATTTTGATTATTTTCTAAGCTCCAATAGATAATGTAGTTTTGGTTTAACAGAAAACTGTTTTTTTAACTTAATATTAACTTTTATGGTATCTTCCCCCACCAATTTAACTTACCATGGTGCGTTTGCATCACATCTATTACAGTAAAACCAGTTATAAAATTGTCAGTCATAAGTTGGTGTCACTAAAACGGATTACTTAACGCAGCCTGCTTTAACATAATTAGCACTACGCGTTCATCAATGTTACTGTCTTAAAATGTCGCAATATTTGATAAAGCACTGTCTGGCAAAAAAGACCAATTGCATAATCGCAATCGAGATAACTGGTTACAGCACTAATGAACGGTTTCGCAAGCCTGGACAAGGAATCTACGCGTTCTTCTGTATTATTAGAAATCGATGCTGCAATTAAGCCACGTCTGTTTCATCCTGAGAGAAGCCTAATAACATGATTGACGGGGGTATTTGGGGTATTCTTAAAGGCAGCTTGCAATGAAATACCAAGCCAATGTAGTCGTGGCTGTATGATGGAACCCAGTGTTCACTAGTGCAAATCCAAAGATGAAGAGAGCAAAACAAGGAAGACCCTGACATAACTAGTAAGGCTATTATATTTTCAGGGCATCAATAAAAAAATGCACCTATAACTGATTTTGTATAGAGTGTAGGCGCCAGAAATTGCTTTTACTTGAGGGAATCGCGCATACATCAACGCATAAACTAAAATTAAAATTCTGGGTTTCCTTTCTGGCTCATCGTACTGCCACGACACTTTGTTCATGTTTACTTAATTTTAATGAATTTTTAAACTATCGTGGTTTACTTTAGGATGGATTTTTTTTTCATAAAAACAGCTTTAAAAAGACATTTTTATCAGTTTTCGGTAAAGTTGCGTCATTGTGTTGTGCAATTTGGGTCCAAAAAGGCTGCTAAATTGCCGTTTATGAGTTGATTTTTAGTGCTGTCTTAATATATGCGTTGGTGAGCCTTTGGCTCATCTGAGATGTTAAGGGATGTGAATTTACTCAAATAACGAGCCGAATTCACAACGAATGTATAAAATTATGCCAGTAATTTTACGATGTTTGATTGCCAGATTTGTGTTGTGAAAGTTTTTGGTGCATGTATTAGCGAAAAACTGCTAAGGCCTGCATGGTATAATGGCATGCGTTCGTTTTGAGGGACAGCGGAGTAGTTGGTTGGAGGCGCATCGTGTAAAAAATAGGAGTTAGCTATGCCGCAGCTGTGAACGAAGACAAACAAAAATGCGTTTTTTGCATTGATAAATTTAATAAAACAGAATGCTGGCTGTGCAAGTCAAAGCACTCTCAGATGTACACAACTGCACGTGCCGCTTTCATTTCTGCCAGTGCTTTCTGCTTCGCTGGTCACAAGTGTTTCGATACACGTGTTAGCCTTAGCGGACCGATTAATGCATATCTGTGCAAACCTCGGCAGTTCGTACTCCACTTTCAATGAGCCTGCCGGAGATGTGATGCTCTTTCCTTTGGGGAAATAACTCGAAAGGAGTTGGGTAATTTTGTATTACGTAATTTGATATAGAAGACTTTTCAATTATTTTCAATAATTTAGAGCGTCTGTGTGACATTTTTAGCTTGCTTTCATATGTAATTGCAACTTTGCCACACGTAATTTGTGGTTAAAGTTATGACTTAATTATAGTATTTTGGGATAAAAAATCACTGCAGAACTGACGGTATTAGTGGATGTGAAAATGGGTTCATTTCTAGCCGATAATTTAGGCAATAAAATTTTCCACATGCATGCCATTGAAGCTATGTCTATAGTTAAAAATAGCCGTCGTAATTTTTTAGAAATAATCTTTTGAACTGGTTAACACAGAACACAATTGCGCTAAATCTAGAGTTAAAAAATAATGCCTCAAATTTACCTATTGCCTCTCAGAAAATACTCGGCTACACTATATAGTCGTAAAATGACTTTACGCCTACTATTTTCAGGAAATTACGCTATCCAGAATGTTCCAACGTAAACTAGGCATCACCTTCAGTAAAGTGAGTGTTTAACGTGTGTCTCCAAAATTGTTTGCTAGTACTGCTCTAAATTGTTTTCGAATCTACTTTTCTCTCTGTGTTCAAGGAAAAAATTCTATAGAGTTGAAGCGCATGAAAAAGCATCCATGTGTATGTGAACGGAGGGGAAACGCAATTCAAGTTGTTTGGCATGGTGTGTCAAGGAGGATTAAATCAGAATAATAACTGCATAATTTGCAATACATCTAAGTAATAAAAAAAGGCTTAACAGCGCAATAATATCACACTTAAGATTTCAAAACAGTTTGTCTCGAAATTGTAGTTCAGAGATTTGGGGTAGAAGCTCAATAGCCACACATGAATGGTTGGTAGCTGCCAAATTTTACACATCATTAAAGTGCCACAACTGAAACGAATAGTGATTTCACCAAACAAGCAGCTCCTATTTCTCCTCTTACGGTTGTCTAATTGGGTTGTGATTGCATAAATCTGATATGTCGTGGATGTTCGCTAACTTGCATCAAAGACAAATTGTGTTGATGGTTTGGGGTTAATTTGGACAATCGACACAAAAAGTAGATTTTTCAACAGTTTAAATTGTTATTTCCGTGGAAACACGAGTCTGAGGCTCCAAAGAAAATATTAGAGGATTTATGAACCAAGCATAATCGTTTCAGCGAATTCCATTCAGAGGAATCCACACTAAGCTGACCGAAATTCTGTTCATACCTGACGTAGTGACGTTCAAATGAAGTCGTTGGACCAATGAGAATTCTTGTTTAAAAAGCAGCAAGGTCATCCATTTCTTAAAACAAATTGTGTGGTTGTTTACAAAAATTTTAATTGACAACGACTGTAGTCCCACTGTAATAAATCAACACAGATCACATAGAATTATTCAACAACAAATGAAAGCAGAAAATCCAATCAGAGAACAACTGCTGGAAGTGGCGACTCATTTGGGAATTGTGCTCAGGCGGAAAATTAGTTTAATTTAGCTGAATAGCGATAGCACACTCTCTAAATAGCCCTGACCTCGAACTGCAAAGTTATCACGTATTTTGGAGCATGCAAAGGGCCTGACTGATTTGAATAAAATTAGCGATGACGGCGACCTGAATTAGCGCTCGATTCGCCTTTTTTTCTGATGAGGGCCGGAAGTTGAGTGGGCGCGAAATCATGGCAGAAACTATTTAGGAATATTATATTTTGCACCAAAAAACTGAATTTACGTTCTGGCTGACCTGTAGATTGCAGTATCTTCATCGGGAAACCAACAAATTTGTGTTTTAGTCTTAAATAACCCTAATATATTCCAACAAAAAACGATTTGAACGTTAAAATAGTTCCTAAAGCAGATAGATGCACTAGTTTTAGCCATTTTAATAGGTGACAGCAGGTACTTGAATTGAAAATATTCACTGACTGCATTTTACTCGCTAGATGTAAAGACAGAGGTACGAGTGGAGCATAGACCATAGATGCAATGATTAAAAGGACTGAGTAGAAACTTGTAATTTTTAAAAGCCAGTCATGTTCATAGTTTTATGATACAAAACTTTAGATGACTTACAAATTCAAATATATCATGAAATGCGGGTGCAAGTGATGTATTTTTTAGCAATGGACTGCCACAGGTAATTTGAGCGTATTAGTTGATTAAAATACCTATCTGAATAATATCTAGAGGGAGCAAATTTATCCCTTCAATAAATTAACCGTTACATCTAATTCTTTTTTTGGAAAAAAATGCATTTTAATATTTTTACCTTGTTCCATAATAGTTTCCGGAAAACACCGCAAACTCCACAAATTCATTTCTCTTTATAGCAGCTTGAAACTCCTCCTTTGTTACAAATATGTAATCTAAAACCAGTAAAAATCACAAGGTTTCAATGTGCACACAAATTAAACCAGACCAAGGATATTTTTTTTGAAAAAATACGTTCAACCAGTAATAAATTACTAGGAATTCAATAGTTACTCTAATTTCACTAATCTTGCCTGATTTTTGTTTAAATAAGCAATTTCAATCTTCACGGAGCTAGATAACAGAATGTGAAATTAAAAACTACCTGATTTTTACTCCATAACAATTAACAAGAAAATTCATTAAAGCTATAACAACCCGCTTGATATTTATGAGCGAACTTGCGAATTGAAAGTGTTGAACCAAGATAATATCAGCTAGCAAGCATGATTTAGAACTCTGAATTTAAAAATTGTAATTATAAGGAGACGATGTCTTGGTTTTTAAACAAGAGGCAAAAAAGTTGGATTCCGAGTTTCTTTGACAATGAAATCTATCCTTTTAGCAAGAATGCCTTTTCCAAGTATGCATTTCAATCACTACCACATGTTTGTCGTTTGGCTTTAGTTCACTGATTTCAGTTTTAATTTGCACGGGCGCAAGTTCAGCCCATTCAAACAGAACAAAACAATGTAGTTTATCAGAACATAAATCTGGTGAAGCATTTTACTCTGCATACAAGAGGACTCTCCCACTAACAACGATGTGTTCACCTCTAGAAGAGTGTGAGCTATGCAAACTCTTCGTCCTGAAATTGTTTTTGCTTCGTCATCAAAGTGGTGTGCTTTGATTTGGAAAAGAACGTTCGCCTCAAGGACGCAACTGGATAGGAGCTTGTTCAAGTACACTCGAAACTGCTCCTGCAGATAGCCGTCTTGGTTAAATACCAAATGGGGTGAGCTATCTGATTTTTTGGTAGTGAGCTACGTTTGCAAGAAAGTAGTTTGAAGTGCATCACATGACCTGAGATCAAAGTTGTCAGTTGGAAATGGTTTGCCCTGATACAGTTTTTCATTTTAAAAGCAAATATGAATGACCAGCAAGAAAGAGTTGTCTTGGAACAATTTGAGGACTGCAATCAAAGGAAGTCCTTACTTATAAATGACGAACCTACGTACTAAGGCCTTTTTTCTGGTACTTCCAGCCAAAGCCTATTGCGTAGGTAAGCATTTTCTAAGTCTTATTACACAGAAAAGAACCGGAATGGTTTGATACATAAATCTTCCCATTGTTGACGGTCCTACAGCTTCCATTGATCAGTGAGAGTTTCTAGTGAATAAGCATCTGGACAGCTTTTGTTTATAAGTTAGTAACTCCTTAAGTTTTGACGACTTTGTTAGAACACTGTAACGAAACCTATCCGGCCGACAGTAGATGTAAGCCGATTTGGCCTCATAGTCATGCAAAACATTTCCATGTTTCAATCTTTGAATAAAGTAATTATATTCCTCATCAGAGAAGACACTTATTTAACGTACATACTCAAGAATAGGCTCTTAAAAGTGTCCAAGGATATCCGGCGATTATTTCTAATGCTTTAAATTTAAAGAGGATAGTCAAAGTGGCATCGCTTAAAATCCGGATTTAAATCAACTCTACTGTTTGGTAATCTAATTTAATTTAAGGCTGATTTAGTAAAGCTACGTCAAAATTTTACCTTTTTGACAAATTTCTTGCAAAGTGTGCATTCAGCTGTTGGTCTGCGTAACTTATAAATGTTTGATTTTTATAAGCAGATTTTTAAAAAAATTCAGCACTAATTTTAATTCTCCTTTTCAATCTAGTTCCAGCCTAGTAAATGGCAATCAGAACGCCAAACATACCTTTTCCGTCAATTTCATTTGGTCTTTTTTGACGAGTTGTGTCTGCAACAATAAACAAATACTAGAAATTGAGCGTATTTTACTTATGAAACTTGACAGTTGTAGGAATGGTATTGTATTTAAAAAACCAGAATCTAGTGTAAGATGGTCAAAAGTTCATTACTTTTTAAACTCTCCTGAGTGCAAAAGAGCTGGATAAATGTTATTTAGGACGCCCATGGCTGTTATCAGACGGAAAAACTGTCCTAAATGATGAGTGCTTCCTGTTTGTCGGATTAAAACCATTAAATAGGCCCTAATTGATTTTGGTCAAAGGTATTCTGTGAAAGTTACTGATGCATCGAAATAAGTTAAATACATGCTGCAAAGAGAAAGATGCATAGTACAATTGCAAATCATGAAAATATGAAAAAATCACTGAATAACCAGCTGCAAATAATCTTTGATTGAACCTTTTTTCAAACTTGTTAGCTGATAGTAACTAGAGTTTAAGCAATGTTATAATTTAATTGTCAAGCTCAAATGTAATTCCTAACCACATTTGTCACGAAATTAATGCTAGAATTTATCATTTATTGTGATTGTAATCATGTTATCTCAACACTATTTGTTTAAAATCATTAATTTTTTGCAAGCAGTTGTTTGTAAAGGCCTGTATTGGCTAATTAGTTAAGAAATGATGACGTACATACCGGTCACCCAACACACAGTTGTCTACAATGCTAGGATTTTGCGCACCTCCTCGAAAACTAATACATCAGATATAAATTCGATAAAACCATTTTTTTTTAATTTTAGTAGTTTAAAAGTCCACTTCAAGATTAAAGCTGATCAAGTGTCGTACAGATCGGAGGATCCCAATTGCTCAATAAGGTCAAGAATATCTGATCCATACTATTATTCGAAAGCTTGAATTCATTCTGGAATGAACCTCTTGTTGATGCTTTCTCAAAAGGTGGAATAGAGACACTATTTCGTTTAAATGAGCTGCAACCTAAGCAGAGGTTAAGCAAAAAAGAGCAACCACGTGATAATAACTTACGAGATATGCACACTTTAAAGACATTTGGGTTTCGATGGAGAAGTCTTTCGATGATGCTACTTTTTCCCGATCCTGAAGGTCCACAGATCACCAACGGGACTGCCTTTGAGTGGCTTGCTTCTACAAAATAAGCTTTTGTGAATTACATCAATCAGAAGCCTCAATTCTACCTTTGCTTATCAAAACAGGGAACAACTGACTAAAATGCTAATTGCGCATTTGGTGTCAACTTTGAAATAGCATGTCACGGGAGGAAATAGCTGTCTTGTATAAATCTGTGCCAAATAATTCCATAATAAGTCCAGTTAAGTAGGTCTGGTCTAAGAAGTGAACTTTCATGAACAATCGATTCAATTTTTTGTACGCAGATTCAGCCCACACACACAATCTTTGAAATGAAGAGACTTCTAGCTTTCACTACCTGCAAAACGCACAAATGTGTTAATTTTGCCAAACTGCTGGACAGAAGTTGCCTTACTGTAAAATATTAAGCAAAAATAACTGATTTACTCAAAATTTTGGATTTTCGAAATCGCAACATCGTAAGCGACCAGAAAATAATGGAGTGAGATATATACCGATTCACCAGTTAGAATTATTTGGCAAAAATGTTTAAGTTTTAAAAAAATCAAAACTTGGCCTAATCTTACCAAGTCATATTACTGTTTTTAATTTATGCTTTCATTTGTAGGTAAGAAGTAAAATATCCATGATAATATTTCCTTTTAAGGCATATTTGTGTTGTTGAGCTGGAAACATTCTTTCTGCCAAAATTTAAATTGCAATTTTTTTATTCATCTACTTAAAATTGTTAGGATCGTTAATTTAGAGATGCTCAAAATCGATGGGACTTAAAAGTAACCCAGCGCTAAAAAGGTACGTTTTCATGGTGCAAGCGACAGTGAAGCGGTTAAAGGCAAACCTGTTCTCAGCCTCATTCCAGACATTTTAGTTTCATGAAAAACCACGGCTAGACCACTTCTCACGCTCAAGTGAGCACATCGCAAAGGTAATAAGCAATTCAGTGTTTAAGTACCTAGTGATACGCATTTTTGGTACAATTTTGGATTGTAGCAAACACTCTAGACTGACTTTTTTAAACATGAGGACCTTCTACTCCTTGGCACTTATTTGGGCCCCTATCAATCAAAACTGCCTGGAATGTTAGCGACGGATCACATTAAAAAAAATGCATATTTGCAAATGACGATGATTTAACATGGGTAAATAGAGATAAACGGACTTGAAATCATGTGACATTAAAGTTTAAAAATAATTTTCTATGTATTTATTATGCTACTCTTTATGAAACAAAGCCTTCGTTTATACTATGTAGGTCAACAATTAAAATAAATTCAGCTAATTAAAATTACAATTACAACATTGAGTTTTAATTTTTGTTTCTCAGCAGTTATATAATAGGACTCAGTCAGTCAAATTATCCAGTGCACCCTCGGTCACTCAGATCTTTTAAACAGGTTATGTCTCTAATCACTAAGACCAACCGTATAACTTTTCATTCCAGCATCATTTCACATGCACTGAATTTTTATTCGCTGAGATCGGCTCAAGGTCCCTGCTACCCTGGTTGAAGGCAACACAACAGAACATTGTTTGAAGGCAATCGGACGAAATTCTCTCCCTTACGTTAATTCTCTTACTGTGGGTTGTTTGGGGCCCCTCAAATTATTGTCGCTGATGTAAAATCACATCATAAACCATGGAAACCTACATTAAACACCGAGAAGTGCTTCACAGGGATGATCTTTTAATGCCACAAAATAACAAAAACGGCCATACTCCAAATGTGAGCTAAATGAAAACCGACATAAGGTCCTGCATTCTTGTAACAATTTCTTTAGCGAAAATTTTTTGCTATTAGAGATGCACAAACGTCGAATGTTTGAGTAACAGGTGAGATTTTTCCTACCTCCTGGTATTTATGCTAGTTTCTTGAGTGCTTTATTATCAGGGACATCTTGTACTCAGCAAAGAGTCCCGCAACCCAAGTAGTTGTCAACAAAACGTCTTCCCTGTCGCCAGTAACGTCATTAACGCTAAACACCGTATTTACCAAGAGCCGTGGCATAGATAATCACATTTTTAAAAAAAGAAAAGTTCTTACTGCTTGAGAGACATTTCGTCCGAAACCGTATTACTTTAGGGGCTTAATGAGCTGTTATTCTTTTAGACAAGATGAACGCATTTGAGGGGTAACAAAGTATTAGGACACTTATTACGTGCTTTTACCAAACTTGTGCTTCAGTAATGCAAATTTTAAACTGTGGATGCACTAAATTTTGATATCAAAATACAAAAATTGCTCCTGATATGTTAAAAGGTTATGCTCCGATTTGCAGATTACATGTCTCTAGATTCCTGCAAATTTTTTCCTCCAGTTACTATTTAGAAGTTTAATAAATTCAGTTTATTAGATTTGTTAAACTACGTTTGCGACGTCTTACAAAAATTTCCAGCCCGTTGGTAATTTTCTATAGTTTTAATGAAAAATCCCTGTGCAACTTGTAAATATATTTTGGGGTTAACAGAAGGTGTTTGAAAAATCGTCATCTAGCCTTGATAATAGTCAAATAATTAGGATATTTTTAATAAGTGAAATTCTGTGAACCTCACTTTGTGCTGAGATGAAAAGAATATTAAAGTTTAATATATTTTAAACGTGATATTAAATGCATTATTATCAGCCAATACTCACTTTCGACCTCTCTCTGACACTGAGGCTCTTCTTTGCTAATAACAGAGGTGTCCGACGACATTTACGCTCTTTTAGAGTACGCGACTTATAGGCATTTAATAATGCACAAATTTTTGTTGAATGGTAGTCGTATCTGCTCAGTTCTAACCACCAATCAGAATCACCCTGACATATTTTATTAGCCACTGGTGGAGCGACCTTGATAATTTGCCATGTATTTAATCGTGGATTAAGTGGATCGGAAGTTTCCGGTCATTTTGCGAGGTGGCAAAGAATGAAGGTTTCCTGTGCTATGAGGCGTTGGCGAAAGCAAAACTACTCAAGTTAGAATGCACCATTAAATCACAATTGTATGCCACCTGTAAAGAATTTTCACTGAATTTTAATAACTTTGCGATTACTTTTAGCTGTTTTAATTTTAAAAAAATGCCTGGGAATCGAACGCACAAGCAACTTGACCCATAGCAATTTTACTCTTTTCTTAAACCTCAGAAGATAATTTAGGCCAAATAATTTATGCCTTCAGAGTTCCTATATTTTAAAAAAAACATTACAATGACTCACTCTGTTTCTTATCCGTTGTGTAATTGGAATGCTTTATGGGACTTTATGAAATTAAATTTTTAGCTAAGTTGTCAGGTAAACATTGACATTTCTTAACTACTTGTGTGATTTTTCTTATAACATTGATTACAAACGCCTCAAGTTTTAAATAACTCGGATGCGAAAGCAGGACTCTATTGTTACTAAAATTTAATCAATTAATTAAATTATGCCCATGTAAGTTTTCTCAAGTATTGCAAAACATCACGTTCTCAAGATCAGAAAAAAAGTTCTCTTTGCTGTAAACCACATGAAAGCAAAATAAGAAACAGACGTAAAACGTAGACCAAAAATTTTCCGTTTAAATTGAACGGATGCAAAACCTAACGAGTATACAGCTAGCTGGTACCATTAGCACTTGGCAATTTGAATCAGCTGGAAGTCTGAGACAGCGAGCAGTGACTTAAGAAATAACTCGAGTTTATTGCAGAGGATGGATCTTTAAGAACGCGGCAGAATCATGTATGTCCGTAGATAAACAAGCTTTGGCATCCTGTTCAACCTAAAGTTTAGCAATTGTTTTAGAAATACTGATTAAATTTGATACTGCTTTTCCACAGCCATTTGCAACCTGCGAAGAATTTTCACATCGTTTTTAGGAAGCTGGCAATCTTATATGAAACTTCTATAAAAAGATCTGAATCACTCAAATGAAGCCATGGATTAGGTTCTCTCAATT